CATTGATCTTGTATCCATCCGCTCTCCTCTTTCCACTTTCGCACTGTCAGTTAAGCTCGTTGATTCAACATGTGTGGCCATGCCGCGAGGATCATTGTTTGAAACCAAACTTTGGGAAAGGTGGGGCGATGCCCAGCCCAGAAGGAACCCGAGATTGTCGAAGCCGGGACGAGATCCGGTGAAGCAGGTTCGGAACAAGACGTCGCGGCATGGCCCAATGTTCGATCTTCAACGTTTCTCTGTGGTTTGACGAGCTGTCCCCGTACTTTGATTGTTTTTCTCAATGTCTACGCATGAACGCACCTTCAGTCGTGGTTTTGCAGTTCACGTCACTATTACGATGATTCCTACGCCCTTAAAATCAGCCTCACACCGACCACAAATCGAGAACCGTCCTCAGGCACAGATAGGAATACACATAAAAGCTGACACAAACTTTCTAGGTCAATGTTTCACCACACACGGGTTCGATTTTCAGCCATTGCGGCCTCATTTTTGTGAAAGCGAGAACATCGCAGTGACGGACACAGAATGCCTGGTATGATTCATATTTATTTCTTTAAATGCGAACTTTTCTTTGCGTATTGCAAGCACTTCTGACGTCTATCTACGTATCTATATAGCCGCCTAAGTCGGGGTGCTCTTGTGATCACACCCTTAACTTGGGATAAATTACAATTAGCATGGGAGGATAGGGTGTTTTGACAAATTTGATTGCTGGTCATGAAATGAATGTCACAATCCCGTCACGTACGTCGTTAAACACTTTCCGCTAGACAGTGGCACATAACCGCGGGCGGGTATGTGCCACAGGTATGCGGGTATGTGGGACAGGTTATCGATGCCTCATATCTACCCAGGAACTACGATAACACACACAGGTAATTTTAGCGCGTGAGCATTAAAAGAAAGCTGACATCGGCTGCGTTGACCTGATGAACGTAAAAAATGTCAGGGTCCCAGCAGTCATCGAAGAACAGACAGTGCGTGCAACCAGGCATTCATCCACAGAGCCACTCGAGATATCGGAACATTTTAAACGGAACTGCTTTTCAAATAGACCAACCACAATGAATGTTCGCTAAGCATACGTCGGGGATGCAGTGATGACTATCCTATTTTATAAACATTACATATAAATATATATATATATATATATATATATATATATATATATATATATATATATATATATATATATATATATATATATACATACATTTATGATAGAGCCATCACGCCAGTTTAATATTGTGCGTCCATACGTGCGTCCATACGTGCGTCCTACCTTCCATGCACGAATGCATGGAAGGTGGGACGCACGTATGGACGGACGAAGAGATGGATGGTTGGACAGAAACAGATGCACCACGAGAGTGATCTTGTATTGAGCTTTCGTATAGTTGGTTAGACCTAAAGCCTGTTGTTTACACGTATGTTTCGTTTTTTATTGCGATGAGAAATATGTGAACACTTTCAGCTGATTTTCGCGTCACCGTCAAGCCCCGAATATGTATAAGTATCTATATATCAATATAAAGCAGAAAGAAAAATAAACCAAAACAAGAATTTCCGAGGCACGCAATGGGAATTCAAACCCGCGACCCCTCACAATTAGCGCTCTGCATCAACCAAGTAAACCACGCTGCTAATCTTGTCTTTCACACTAATTACGAACTTTGTGTATAGATCATTTGTCACTGGCTTACTGTCAATGAACTTAAAAAAAAAACCTCCTTGAACAAAGCATGTGCTTTCTTTGGACTAGCCATACATGCTTGCCGTAAAAATTGAAGTGTCCGATGGCTTGATCATTGGAAGGGTGTAGGTGCACTGAAGCACATAACAGGCATTTAAAGGGGCATTTCAAAACGTCTCCGACTCCACTGACAAAAAGAGCATTCCTAAATGTTTATGACTCCACTTTCTATTTGAATCAACAGGAAAAAAATCACTCGCATCAAGTCCTTCAGTTTTCGAGAGGTTGGTGGTCCAGTCGTGCCAGACAATTCGCTTCCTGTCGGAATGCGCACTACCACTATCGTTATAGATCGGCAAACTGAACTCGTGGCCCCGGATGAGTTGTGGTGACTCTTGCGTCATCAAAAAGTCACACGGATTCGTTGTCGCAACAGTACACATCTCACCATAAGCATTGAGACTGGCGTCATGAACTTCTTCTTGCTCAAATTCCGTGCGGTGTGCTTACAGGTTGTCCCTGTGATCGTCATTGAGGACTTTAACGTTTATGTACTTCAACGTGAAAACCAGTGGCTTGCCACGTTGCTCGATACCAAATTTTCAGTTCCATTTTCAGACGTGACGCCGTGAAGTATTCACAACATCTGTTGAGTTACTGTGCTTACTACATTACTGTAAATTCAAGCAAAATCGACCATGTTCACTGCATTTCATATGGTTCTTAAATCCCCTAGTCTGACTTCGCCGAACAACCCGATGTGAGGCTACCGCATTTATTGCTTCAGCCTTGCACCAAAACTGACTTTTGTCGCGCAGGGGTTTATTTATGGTTGGGGTCTTGTGCAGTGATGGACGCCAACTAAGTCGGTCGTATAGATGATTACTATGTGGGGTTGAACGTCCCAAAACTATAACATGATTATGAGACACGCCGTAGTGAAATGCTCCGAAAATTTCAACCACCTGAGATCCTTTACCGTGAACCCAAATCTGAGCCCAGGAGCCTACACGAGTTTTACATCCAACAAAAATGCAGCCGCCACAGGGGGGATTCAATCCCACGGTCTGCGGGTCAGCGGGTACCTTAGCCACTAGACCACTGTGGCGGGGCAGGTCGGTCGTAACGAGTTTAGCTCCCAAAAACTGGCATCGGCACCACTGACCCAACGAACGCATAAAATAATCGCCATGGTGCCAAGGAATCGAACTCCATCTTTCTGCGGGGAAATCATTTATTCTACCACAGCACCATGCCAAGTATCGGAAGTGCTTATCAAGTTGGTCGTAATATTCGTGAAATATCAATTGTGGTTGCAGGGCTGGCTATCCAATCTTATAAACAGTACATACGACCTCCTAACCTACAGCCGTCACGCTGGGTTAACAACAATTGTAATCATTCACTCCGGGAAACGCTGTGAACAAATGCTGTGTCTGTCTGTCTGTTTGTCTGTCTGTCGGTCTGTCTGTCTGTCCGTCCGTCCATCCGACCATCTGCTCATCTGTATCCTTACGCCAACGGACACACGGAAGGTTTGGCTACGACAACGCAGGAGGTACTGAGCCACAGCGTAAGCATCTTCGCCTCTGAAAAGTTAACGCAGAGTCACCTTCCATGCACATGCTTCGCATAACATATCGTTACGTACAATCCAAATGGTGTAGGAATAACTGTTTATTTGGGCTAACTTGTGCCCGGAAAGTAAAGGAAAATGTAGCAGCGTTTTTAACAGGTGATCAGCAAAAGAAATCAATTTTTTAGCAGCCCTCGAGCACTGCAACACTGTTTTTTCATTAAAATCCCGTGCTGAGGAGGCGAGCGCCGTCATGGCCTTTTCTTCTTTCATCATCGGGCCGCTGGTCTCTTGGGAGCGCACGAACTAGCGCGCGTAGTTTGAATACGGGACTGGGTTTGTCTTGCGCCAATATATATATATATATATATATATATATATATATATATATATATATATATATATATATATATATATATATATATATATAATATATATATATATATATATATATATATATATATTCAATTATAATTTACATATATACCGAAAGGCATGCCCGCTAGCACACCAACACACCAAGAAGTAGTAACTGACTTTACTGTTAATTCTCTAATTTGCCTTGCCTAATCAATGCCCCGCCGCGAGGTCCAGTGGCTAAGGTACTCAGCTGTTGACCTTCACGTCCCGGGATCGAGTACCTGCTGTGGCCGCTGAATCTTCGAAGCAGGTGAAAATGCTTCAGGCCAGTTTCTTGTGATTTCGGAACATGTTAAATAACACCAGGTGGTCGAAATATCCGGAGTCGTCCACTACGGTATCTCTCATATTCGTGTGGTGGTTTTAAGACGTTAAAGCCCACATATCAATCATTGAACAATAAACTTCTCTTGTTGACCATGGATCTGAAAGAATTACGACAGAAGTTGTTGACTTTACAATAATTTTTTCATTTTCTTAGCACGACGTTTTCTGTCCACCTGTTTTTCGAAGCAAACATGGCGTCCGCAACGTGCATTGCTATATATATATATATATATAAAAGTGAGGGAAGTGTATACCTAAGGGCTCGTTTTTCCGTGTTTTGACACAATATTATTGAGATCTAACAGACAGTAATGCCAAGGAATGTATAGGGGAAGTTATTAGAACCAATGGAATGTAAATAAGAAGAAAGAAAAGTGGGTGAAAAAATAACCAGCCATGAGCAGGAATCGAACCTACGACGTTCGAATAACGCGTCTGATGCTATATATATATATATATTAATATATATTTATATATATATAAACGTACCCACCACATTTTGAGCTAAGTAGTCACAGTAAAGATGTAGAAGGAAATTGCGGGGGGGGGGGGGGGAAGGAAGCACACGCACACACGGGAATTCGTTCTTTTTCTTTATTCTGATCTTTATTCTGATCCAGGACATATTGCACGCATGATTGTCAAGTACTTGCGCTTACGAAGCGACGAACAATGGAATTCGTATATTGTAACCGGAAACGCGATTTGACGTCATAAAGCGGCCACGCCACTTGTCAGTCAAGTTATCAGAACATACGAAATCACGAGGCTAGATAACTGATTCGAACGGACAAAGGTGTCGATAAGCCATGAACGCTATCTTTGATCTGACCGCATTCACACGCGCACTGCATGTGATTGAGAAGGGACGCTCGAAATGACGGCCGCATATTACCCCAAGCTTGCACATCCACTGCACTGAACTACTCTTCTTTCTTCATCTTTCTGCCCAACGGCACGACACTTGACGATAAACACTATCGGTACGCGGTAGATGTACAAGTGTTGCTTACAAGGCTAGCCTTCAAATAGCCATAGTCATAGACAGCTCGGAAGCAGCAGCCTGAAGGTATACAGGTGCTTGCAGCTGTCATCATGGTAAGTTTAGGAGTTGTAAGTGGACGACGAATTTTATTTAGCATACTTTGTGTGACGGCGCTGTCGTGGCTTCCCGCTAACGTGGAATCACTCAACCTGACTCTATATTACGAAGGGCTATGTCCCGACTGCCACGAATTCATTCTTGGCCAACTCTGGCCAACGTTTGGGAAGCTCGAAGAGTACCTCGAGTTGGATCTCCTGCCCTTCGGCAATGCTCGCATGAAAGTGTCTAACGGTACGATCACCTTCTACTGCCAGCATGGCCCAGACGAGTGCTTAGTCAACGAAGTTCACACCTGCGCCGTCAAGTACGTGCACCCGCAGAGAAAGCTCCTGGATTTCGTCGCCTGCACGCTTCGCCAGGACGATCCGGCCCAAGCAGGTGAGCCATGCGCTCGGAAGGTGGGCACGGACTGGGCTGTCCTGGACCGCTGCAGTCGAGGACCCGAGGGTATCCAGCTTCTGTACGAAATGGGCAAGCGAACACGGGAGCACCAGCCTCCCATACAATATGTGCCGTACGTGGAGATTAACGGATATCACAACGAAACCATGCAAAATTTGGTGGAAGAAGACTTGTTTCACTTTGTGTGCAAGCTTTTGGAGCCATCGCCACCTAAGGTGTGCACGAATGTGGGGGTTCCTGGACGGCATTGTGTTATGAGCGGTGATTCTCACTTTTTGTCCGAAATATCCTGATTGATCTGTTGCTACTCATCATCATCGCTTTTGTTGCGTGTTCTTCTTGTCCAGTTTTAGTACTACTTACACGCAGTATCTGTTGTTAGCTGCAACACAATTCATGTGTGAAAAGCTAAAGATATAAAGCCTCATGCATCTATGGGTCTTACAAGTGTCTCAGTTTTACTACATTGGTAAACAAAGACGATTAAAACTTCTAAAATGACGTGTAACAAAATAAGGGCAATAGTGATGTGATCATCGTCTGATTTGGCGGCAAAGTAAGTTTGTGCTCGACGTTGGGTATTTCAAAATATACGTAGTTCACTTCTTTTACGTAACTTTACCTGCCCTTTCTTCATAGGTATAAAAAGGACCTGTGTTCCATAAGAAGGAGAATGGGCTGTGCAATATTATACGAAGTCGTCTAGTGTGGGCTGCGGTGCTCTTGTTGTGTCCTATCTTTGTTGAACTCTGGCTAGAAACGCTTAGCTTGCCGCATTTCTTTAAGTGAATTAGTGGTAGGCATCGATACATCGGCTCCCACAGAAAAAAAAAGGTCTAAACTAGTTGTACTTGCGCACCCGAATGATTCCTAAAGTTGAAAAAAAGGAAGACTGTACTATAAAAGCATGTGCAACTTACAATCTTTGATTCGCGAACTGGCTGCCATGTTAATCGGGAATACAGCAAGCAGTCACCATGCATACAGCAAAAGAACTTCCGAAAAAAAAATGACGTGCCACTTCTCCTTCGCTATCTGTTTCGAGTACACCATGACTTATCTACAATGGGATATAGCCGCTCAGACACCGTCTTGAAGTCTAATCAGAGAAAAGACCACGCGGTGATTAAGCACTCGATAAACTGAGAGTAAGTGCAAGTGTCCTCTCACGTGATACCATGAGATCGGAATTGGGAGATATACTGTAGCAAAGGCGCTATACTATCGGCATGTTTTTTACATCCAACCGCTCACGGTAACAAAGGTCAGAGTTGGCCTTTGCGCTTTGCAAGAGGAAGACGTCGAGAGAAAAGGCACGTGAGGCGATAAACGTAGCTAGCGTCTACGAAGTGTTAATTTATGCAAAATAACCGTTCAACGTGAACGTCCAATTATTCTGGAGCACATATTTAATTTATAAGACGTTCCCAAACGCAATGACATCTCCAGCTCTCCATTAAAATAATTCTCTCTCCCAAATGCAAACGAAAAACCTTCACAAGGAGCCTTGGAAGACGTAGGCACCCATATACACGAGCGTACGAGCAGCACCAGCAACTAAGCAATAACTCAGTGGGCGGTGCTACCACCAACCTCAGTGAAATGACGAGACTACGGCCAATGTAGCTCTATCAACAAAATAAATTGTGTGCTCGAGCAGGTGGGTTTTCAAACGTGATGAGTGGGTTGTTAGTGACTCATCACAGCAAAGAAAACAACATCTAAGAAACATGGCATATCCACGAAGTGAATGATGATAAATCGGCGAACCAGCGAGTTCGTTCGGCATTACCATAACTGACCATTAACATTCACCACATACTCATGTAAATAAGTGACAAAGTGGTGTATATACACAAGGTTTATTAGCCATAAATGGTATGTTGTGTGAAGTTGTAGATTTAATTTTTCCTCTTCATTACTGTATTATGGTGTCGAATCTAGCATGAAGTTGCCAAAAGGAGTTATGGGCAATTTCTGCTGGTGGCTGTTGGTTGTTCCCAGTCATACAAAATTCATCGTAGAGGATATCGAGACGTCATAAACAGCACAAACCAGTCGTTGTCCATGATGATCACCATCATCAGCCTCATCTTCATCTCGGCTACGGCACACGCCTACAGACAAGCCTCGGCCCAAAGGAGGCTCACCTCTAAAAATTTTGTCAGCACTTCTTTAAAGTGAAACCCATAGCTGCCTCAATAAGCGCAAATATTGACGAGTGTCCAGCGTGGGCGTCGCCTGTTAGCAGCGCCAACACAAGTGATGCGAAAAAAAAAAAGGCGGGGGGGGGGGGGATGTTGAAAACGTTAATAAATGACGCTAAAAATACGTGCAATTGTTGTAGGCAGAGACGTATGTAGAACAGTCACATAGGTTAAGTGCGAAGCATTTTTTTGCATGCTGCAAGCCCTTTTAACGTCTATCTATCTATCTATCTATCTATCTATCTATCTATCTATCTATCTATCTATCTATCTATCTATCTATCTATCTATCGATCCGCCCACTTTTGGATGCACTCATCATCACCCCCTTTACTTGGTGTCGATTAGAATTAGTATGAGAAGGTATGATGTTGTGTCGAATACATATCATAAATAATGTGACGATCCCGTAGCGTACGTCGTCAAACACTTTTCGCCAGACAGTGGCACATGCCCGTGGGCAGGTATGTGCCACTGGTGATTGACACTTCATATCTACCCAGCCAAGAAAAAAATGTCAAGATACCAGCATAAATCGAATCCCCAATATTATACATGGCAACCAACTATTGCATCACAGAGCCACGCCAGGTTTCGCCACTGCTTTTCAGAAAGACCGTAATGTTCGTCAGGCGTCAATTAGAGGTGCAGTGACGGCTATCCATTTTGCTAAGCATTACATATGTACTCTTAGGATACAGTCGTCAAGTTGGGTTAAGATCAACTGTAGTTAAGCCGAATGCACTGAAGGTGATCAACAGTTTATATCAAATAAAGAATGGCGCGAAGAGACATTGGGAATTCAATCTCAAAGCATTCAGAAAAATTGATGCATCTCCACGAAGTGAATGACGACGAGTTGGTGAAGCTATGGGTTGTAAGGTTCATAATGTCAATGTTGAAGTTCTAGTCAAAGCTCCAGTCTTGTTAGTCGCCGGGGAACATTTTAACGACTTGTATGATATAGAAGAATGTTTCGAGGTTGTGGCAGTAGTATGCAATCTGCTGAAGGGATTTAGACCACGAAGTGGAACTAACCCAAATAATGGCTTTTGTACATGTCGGTGAATTAAAGTTACAGTTGCCTGTTATTATAGAAACAATCGACTTATTGCTGAAATGAAGGTATAGTGGAGGCTGCTAATAGCAAGAACTCGCTAACTCGGAAAAGGTACTCTAAATCATTAACCATTTATTCTAAACACAGAATTTAAAGTGGCAATAAATTTGTCGTAGTCTACCACTCACCCGTAGTCGGCTCTATATTGTACTCGGAAGCTTTTTCTGTCTTATGAAAACGTATAGGATAGTTCATTGTGCAAGCGGTCATTAGGTGGTCCGTTATATTAAGCGCGCCCATGCACTGAAATGGCGAAATGAGGGCGACTTTCGGCTCTCATGGTGGCGTATATAGCACACTGAAATCAAGTTAACCTTGAGAATAACTGTAGACCCGATACTACAGCTATTTCTCCGAAAATTGCGTAGAAGCTGCTGAGACACATGGTCACTCACACTGCTGCTATAAGGAAACTAAGCCTGGAAACCTGCACGAACTGAATTACGATACTAACTCACTCGTTCGTGCTCCATCAAGATTGTGAATTTTCTTTGGCAGAGGTAAAAGTAGACGGGGTGGCCGTTGCCGCATCAGGTAACAAGCACATACAAAAGGCGAGATAACGTGCAGGATGCCCCAGACAACTCTAGTAAAGGTTAAAAGTACTCTAATGCACTTCATGATGACGCCGCTAAATGCATACTGCTAAGTATAGCTTGGAGTAAGTAAAACTGAGATTTGTTCGGCTAAATTGTTAATTAAAAGGACTGTCTACCGCCCTTCATTGCTCTCTTGTTTTGTGTCGCAATTAAAAGGGTACCACGTGAAGTGCCTCACCCTGCAGTGGTTTCTCTAGAAAGTGCGTAGAGACTTTTAAAACAGAATTTTCTGTAGGCATTATGTCTCCTTGCATCGGTGGGATAAATGCAACCAGCACTGGTTGGTGCCGGTGAAAGTCGAAAACTGAAACCACGTGTGGTTTTTGCCGGCTTCATGAAGTGTGACTATTAATAAAACAAATCCCTTAGTGGTCACTATAGGCACGCACACACTTTTTTTATTGTTCTCATGAGTGATGGCGGACGCCGTGGTCGCGTTTCTTCGCCGTTTGAAGGCAGGCATGCAGGCAAGCGAGCACACCACCAGCAGCGCCGCGGGGTGCCTATTTAAACGCGCGAGGGAAAAAAAAGGCAAACCTTTGTCTTTGGTGCAACCTAAAGGTGCCTTAAGGGCATAAAATAAAATTTGTTGTTAAACGTGTTTGATTTTAAGCAAAATATGTCTAGCTGCGAGGATTTGTTGTCCTACCAATAAATTGTCAAGATTGACCACATTTGCTGTTGGGCGACGCCAGTGGCCACTTTTTATCAATTTTCAACATCTATTTAAAATTATAATTCCCTTTTTTCTGGCACTAAAGCATGCTCATTGCCACTGATAAGATGAACGAGCTTTTCATTTGTGCCACGATAGGAAAAAAATTTTTCTGGGCGGTCGACATTCCCTTTAGGCAAGCAAGATTGGTTAATGTAATGAAGAAAAGAGACAGCACCTGTATGCTGCGCCGGCTGCTCTTATTCTGACCTGTTTTTTTTTCTACCTCGCTCTTGCTGTCCACGCACCGAAACATTGGCCTTTGCCTTATTCATCACGCTTGGACATGGCAGCGACCCGTTAGTTTCTCTGGTGGGCGGCTTTGGCTGCATCACGGTGGTTGTTCATGCCATGGTGCGACTTGACAGGTGGAACAGCCTCGAGGTGGTGCTTCCCCGTTCTCTGTAGCAGCGATGTTGGAATGAGTGGTGACAGGGAGGTTCTAGTCAGTCCGTCCAAAGGCAGCAGTGAGCTTGGTGCCCCAGTCTGCCCAGGACTCCTGCATCACGCATTTATACTTGTGAATTTTTTCGGTGGTATTCTGGAAGCAGTTTAGGGCGATGTACAACTTATTCTGTTCAGTCTATGCCTTGCGAGCCCCGAGAACGTCGGTGGGGGCCACCCAATTGCCGACGTCGTCCTGGAAGCCGCGAAAGTGTTGAAAATCAAAGGCACTAACATATGGTGATACGGCTGCTGAAATCCCTGTGCATGTTGACGCGAAGCAGCCGAGTTGGTGTGAGAGCTCTGTGAGGGTATACCGGAGCCTCTTCGGCTCTCTGGTGAGGTCTCTTTATGGTTTT